AGATGAGGTTTGGATAAGTCAGCATTTACATACTGTAATGTAATACGAAAGAGGCACAATGGAGATGAGGAGATTCGTAATTGTCTTTCGTGCCGGATGGAAATTAATATTTGATTTGAAACCGTACTACACACAGATCTTGATGGAGTTGTTAATGTGCAAAGGGAAATATTGCCCCCTTTGGTGAAAGTTTTTAAACTGAGAATGTTTCCAGAAAAACAGGCAATATCAGAAAAAACTGCAATGCAACAAACTAAATTCTTTTTGATTTTTTTTTATATTGCCCATATTCAAATTTCATTTAAATTTTACATACAAAAAAAATGACTCCCTCTATTGTTAGTGAAATGAAGATGAGTTGAATATCAACCATTTTTAAGTTTAAGTTTTAAAGATCAATATTGCCTTCAGCATATTTTAGCATATTTTAACAGCATATTGAAATTTCTTAGTCTTTGTATCTCTTAAAGCAAGTGTTCAAGGTGATGCATGGGAAATTTCATCTACAATAATAAGGCTATTCTATTCCATTCTATACTAATTACATATGAATAAAATATTAATGCAAATACTTCATGCGTGTCCTGTCATAACGAAATCTCATAATCAGCCTCTCTGGTCTACTTTACCCAGATCAACCAAAGTGACAGCGAAGTGAACGCAGAGTGTGACTGGCATTGGACTGAAGAGCCAATTTGCAAAACACACTCAGTCCCACAGGATACATTTTTTTGAGAAAATTTCTGTGGACTTAGTGAGTTTTGGAAATTCAACAGAAGTTCTATGTTGGATGATATGAGTAATTTTTGATTCCCAGTATTATAACACATGCAGGGGTGGACGTACCATATACATCCCGGTACTCACAGTCCCTCACATGGGCAACATCTACCTTGTGGTGGTTGTGGTCAACCAGACCCCCTATGATATACTGTAGGCCTTGCACTCATCCAGCTCCGTCAGCACGTTGGGAGAGTCTGAATGTAGCAGGGACTGGAGCTGGCTGAGGCCCCCAAAAACCAGGGGCCCCATGAAGATGGAGTTTCCTGAAGTTATATTTATTACTATTTATAAGATAAATTATCATTTAAATTATAGCAATTATTCACAAAGTTGGCCCCTTGCCCTGGCTGTAATGGACTATTCTTACTTTGAAACGCAGTTACTACCCAGCTTTCTCTTCACACTGGAGGCTGGCGGTAGGGTACCAGTTGTCACGGCCAAGTGAACCGGCACAAAGTAGCTTAACGGAAGAAGTAAAAGGTGCAAAGATACAAGACTTACATTACATATCCTATTTTTTTGGTACTGTTCCGCTAGAATGGTAGACAAATTGTAAACAGACACAGAGCGAACACAATAACACAAACAAATGCAAAAAGCTGAAGACTAACCTTAGCCTCGGGGGCTGAGTAAGGCATAGGCAAATCTTGGCAGCAGAATCGCATATGATAATCCTTATCTGAGCGACTCTGACACTATCCTACACTACAGCCTAGGACTGTGGCAAAAGGGGGAAAAGTTAAACTTCTTAAATTTGGCCAGTCGATCCACCGGCATGATCAGCCAATTCTATTGACAAAAATGCAGTGTTACGTCACTGGTGACACCATGAGGGGGAACTCCGTCACAGTCATGGGGAAAGACTTAAAAAATCAACAACGATTGTTAATAGGACACTGATGCATAAGCGATGATATCTATGGTCTGAGGACCATGACATAAAATTGCTACTATACTCATCGTTCATAATTCCTCCTGATCCTCTGTCTACTGTGATCATTTTTTGACTCATAAAAAGATTGACGCAAATCATTTTTTTCAGGAAAAGTATTTTCTGTCAGTTCCCTTGACTGTTTGGTGAATAGTTGCTGTGAGCCACGGGCAAATAATTGTAGGTCTTTACTGGGTGATGGAGTGTGTGGTATGTACAGTATTTATACTCTCATCAAAACAGTTTTCAGTGATGATTGTCTCAGTGTCATGAGGATCATAGAATAATGATTGATTGAGAAGGGGGGGACAGCTGATTGCGTTTTGGTTGTGATGACTCGTCTAACAGATTTTTATGCCTGGTGATGCTTGAAGTGTGAACATGCTTGACATTTGACGCTGTGCTCAGGCCATCGTAAATGTTTCAGAAAGCATGCTGACAGTCCTGAGGATTGTGTTAAACTGTTTCAGAAGTGGGAATAATATTTCATGAAGTGAACAGTAATCGAGAAGAAGTGTGAAGCCTCAACTCTGGTAATAGGATTTACATCCCTACAAACTGCAGTAGATGTTAGAACCAGTCATTCTGAACTGGAGTAAAATAAAATCTGCATGCATTCATCCTAAAACTTCATTATTCCATTACAATATATATATACACCCCAAACAGAACTACTGAAAAATGTGTTGGAAACTATTGTGTTGGTATGTTCTTCACAAACAGGGCAGGTTCTATTGAGGTCTTCTCTCAAAGCCCTGCTTCACATTCAATGTGGATTAGGGCCTCCTTAGCGTGGTTTTAATGCAATTAAAAACAAACAGAAACCCATCTGAATTGTCTTAGTACTAAGTGCGGAAAAGTCGCACATCCAGGTGTCAAGATTTTCACATTGATCCCTCAGATTCAGCACAAACAGGTTCAGAATTATCGCTTTATAGCTCGGAAATCCCCCCTGTTGCATTCCTCGTCATTGTGTTCGGCTAAATAGTCGCTATATTTACATTTTCCTTTAAATTTATGATAAAAAGCCGTATCTACTTTATTATTTTAGCAAAGCATTTTTTGGGGGGATGGGGTTTAATGTGGAGTTTAATGTGGTTTAATGTGGAGTTCTGGTAATAAAAACAGTGTCAGAGTTCCTCAGATCAGGATTATCATACGCTATTCTGGTGCCAAGATTTGCAAGTGCGAGTCTGAGCTTCTACAGTCCATGGGGCATCAAGTTCTTTCTTCTCACGGATCCTTTGTGCTCGGCAAAAGCTCACAGAAGCCCAACTCCTTGCCTCCCATCTCCCGTCTTCTTATTTATCTTCCATGATCCTCCTCTCCGCTAGGGAATGGCGCGAGAGCGAACTCCGCAGCCGTTCCTGTTTACGGGCATTAATGGGAATGAGGGCACCTAATCGCCTCTGAATACGCTGTCCTCTGCTCGCTCACGGCAAGATTTACCCAACGCTCTTGGGTGTTCTCAGTCACGTGGGGCGATTTCTGTTATAGATTTTTAACGATTACTATCAGACATTCAGCTGCCCTTTCCCATCTTGAAATCATGATGCATAATTTAGACAGATCACGTAGCAGAGGAGATTACAGGGCCTTTGTGGAGTTTCTCCGGTAGGATACTCTGTTTAAAGGAATGGCAGACATAACCCATGGTATCCTCTCCGTGCTGGTCGTAAGAGCAGCTCTGGAGAGTTTAAATGGGGATACTTTCTAGAAATTGGGAGGTACTAAAGCAGTGTCCGGGAGATCTTCAACCGGAGGCACAGGATATATTATACAGCACAGTTCTCTTAGCTCAGCCAAGGACTACTGGCAACCTCTGAGAAACGCTGCTTCTCTTCCTCCAGAAGCGAGTGCAGGGAATCTGTCTCACAAAATCTCCCGCAGTCTCTCACTCCACTCTGAACATTGCCTCTCTGCTGCATTTGCCTCCCAGCGGGAAACACAAACAATCTGGTAAACTGTGGCCCCCCAGCTCCCCTCTGCCCCCATACACAGCCTCAGAGTACATGTTGGTGCGAATGGAACATCACTTATCGCTGCATACTCAGGAGGAGTGACTCTCTAAACACAGAGGTATGAATCCCTCTACCCAATTAATTCTCAGGACCCCCCCCCCCCCCCCCCCAATTTAAATGTTAGCACGTCCAGGGGCAGCTCAGGTCTTAAAGAATAGTACTCTAAAATTTGTACGATCAAAACTTGTGAGCTCCAAAAAAAAAACCTTCTGCAGTGGACTGAAGTGCGAGTGGATGAGCCAAAAGTCATCAATATGTTCTTTTTTTAATAAAATACTATAGTAAAAATCTGATTTCATCCAACCTGTATCCCTGTGTCCTTCTAATTAATCAAGAAATAATTAGTGAATTTCCCTTATCCCTTATGCTGTGTTATATATTATCTCACACTCACAGTGTGTGCTATACACTGTTTATATGCAGTACCAGACAAAAGTTTGGACATGTCAAACCACCTACAGAGGAGAGTGGTAGTGTCTCATCACATCACCTTGCTGTGTGGACTAAACACAATACAGTTTCAATTGAGTTTGACAGAAGAGTGATGGAAAAGCAGCCTATCAGTGCTCAGCATATATGTGGGACCTCCTTCAGGAGAGCTGGAAAAGCATCCCAGGAGGCCACCTCATGAAACTGGCGTAGAGGAGACTTTAGAGGCAGCCAGTCCCTGGAGCAATTGGGGTTAAGGGCCTTGCTCAAGGACCCAATGGTGGGATCACTCTGCTGACCCAGGGATTTGAACTGGCAACCTTCTGAGTCCCAACCCATAGAGATCCCCCCCCAAGAAATTATTATTATTATTTTTATTTTGTTTATTTTTTTGGTCAGTGCATAATTTCATATATGTAATTTTATTGTTTTTATGTCTTTGTAATTATTCTAAAATGTAGAGATTAGTACTAATAAACCTTTGTATGGGTATGCCCATTGTAGCCCTGGTTTCTCATAAGTTGCCCAGTGACCCTTATGGCGAGCTTCTTTCAATAAAGACACACAGCCAACAGCAAGACCCAGCTTCCTAAGAGAAAATAGGTAATAATGCAAAAAGTTACTGTGCAAAATTTATCATTACCGCTTCCAAAAGCTCCAGGCCATTCTGCTACCTCTCCCTGGATTTGTTCTTACAGCCACAATTATCGCTTTTTATACCTCATTCTTTCTGTTTGTCTTTTTTTGTCTCATCAACCTTGTTTTTCTTAGTGTTGTCCTGCCCTGTGCTGGTCTGTGCCAGTAAAAAGCTTTATTTTTCCCTGCCTCGCCCTCAGGTTCGGCTTGGCAGCTGACGTGAGTCCAGAGCGATGTCCACGTGAGGTATTAATCTTCCCCAAGCACCTGCAGACAGTCTGTGGCGTTATGGCCGTGACCCAGAATGCATGTCCAATTTCCCTTCACCTAATTTTTTGGTGAGAAAACATCATGCTCCCCGTTGTTAAAAAATGGCCCGTTAAGTCATTGCAGACCTGTTCAGAATGAATACAATAAATGACACTCCAGAAAATAGTATGAAATATCTGACATTTTAATATGAATCATAAAAAATACAAATTCAACTGAAGAAGTTATTTGTAGACAAAATACATTAATCTTTCACACCATTAGATATCTCTTTAGCTAGAGAAGGGAATTTCCATTTACATTAAATCTCATAGATGTGTAACATAATTATAAGATATAAATTTACGTCTCTGTGACTTGAGATGAACTTAGAAAAGATGACCTCCTGTCATCCATCTTTTTAATGCCTAAACATTAAAAATGCTAACATTCTAAGTAAACGCACAATTTGTTGAATATTATTTGGCCTTGTTTCTTAAGTTTTATTATTATTTTTCATTTCACATCAAAGCATTGTGATTAATCATCAGTAAGAAATATCTCATTTATAACAAAAAAAAAAATGTGCTGCTTTTTCAGAAGGTAACAGAGATTTGCCCTTAAATACCTACGAATTAAACTATGAAAATCCCCCCTGCTTATATTATAAAACACATTGTTTTTGTGTTGCTGACCATTTCTCATTTAATGCGTTGTTGAATGAATTGTTTATTTGGAGTGCAGTAGAAAAAGAAATCAATTGTTTGTGGAAGACTGTGTGAAATCTTTCTCTGCACACTTCTTTCAGCGAATCGCTTGTTTGTGCTGAATGAAAATTTACCCTTTTTGAAGGTGCTAACGCAATGTTCAGTGGTGAGAAACCCACCAGCACACAGCTCCCACGCTTTTGGGCGTGTGGCTCAGCTAATTCAAGAAAGCAACTATAGTGATTTAGAAAACTCAGATTTCCCAAAGTAACAACTAGAAAAAACACGGAGAATACTATATATTTCAGTATAAATTGGATGAAACTATAGACACTTAATAGGCTGTCAGCAGACTATAATAAATAGATTAGATTTACACACCTTGAAGAAACAGCAAATACCCCAAATACAATATAGGCAAATAATGTAAACTCTGGTATTTTTATTTTACCATGATATATAACAAATCCAGCAAATTTAAGAATTAACCACAAACAAATGTAGCAATGCATGTAACGTATATGAAATTGGTCATAATTATTACCTTGAAACATAGAGCATATGCTTGTGACATCACCATATTTTTTAATATGCCTTAACAATAGTGCTTTCGAAAAACACATCATTATGGCAACAGGAAGGCTCAAAAAATTGCATACTATAAATGAGAGAAAAATAACCTTTTAACAGTTTTATTACATGGTGCTGCTTTTACAAGGTTTCATGTCAAACTCTGTATTAGCTCTCATCCTTATGTTTCTGTTGATCCACAAGTCCTTCCCTGTGAAAATCAATAGCCCGTTTGTTATGGACAAAAATACTGTTATAAAACAGAAGTATAGTTTGTGTGTGTTAAAATCCAATTAAATATTGACAATCTCTTGTCACTGCAGTAGAAATTGCTTCTGGATGATGAAAACATCTCATTCTACAGGTACACTGCAGTGTTTTCTGCAATCATAAAAGCACATTTGTGCATCCAAGACACAGCAATTGCCCTGAATCATCTGGCCCTCATCTGTTAGTTAGCCTTCCAAAAGCTGTAAAAATACAAATATAATGGGTTTTTACTCATGTTAATCAGAGGTGGAGATTTCAGATCTAGAGAGCACAAATCCAGACCAAGATTTTTTTGTTTCAACCAACCAGTGAAGTACGCTGTGACTGTGACTCTTTATACTCATCTGGTTGGTTGAAACAAAATCTTGGTCTGGATTTGTACTCTCTGGATCTGAAATCTCCACCTCTGATGTTAGTATAATGTTGTCTAGTCTGTTCATGTGCTTAATAGATGTTTACTTACAGTAAAACAGGAGATTCAAAAGATGTATTTTACACCGTATTTTAGTTTGTAGGCACCTGGAATCTAATGTTGTAGCAAAGTTTAACCTTATACCCTGACTTTTGAAACGTTACTTGCCGTTGTTACTATTGCTGTTATAGCTGGCCTATTTGTATTTCAAGTATTTGGTTCTATATTTACAACTCCAAAGTCTTATACTTTCAAGGATAAATTGTTAGTTTTCAAACTTAAAAGCCAAAAACTCCATTTTATCATGCCATTCATTTCCAATCTGAAAATCAGCATAAAAATTACATGCACTTCTAGGCCCATGGTTTCAACCACAATAAGACTAATTTGAACATAAGCATTAAAACGCCACACCTTGGTAAAGTAGAAGGCCCTAATAACGAATGGTACCCAATCACTGTCATAAACAGCTTATTGGGGATTTATGCGTCACCCCACATCGACATGAATGGGCTTTCTAATTAATTTCCTCATTACATTCAAAATCTCTGTAAACTCCCAGTCTAAATGTGAAGAGAAACATTTCAGCGTAACATTAATCTGTTGGAAGGTGTTCCTGAAGGTTGCCTAGGTTTAACATTTTATTTATTGAATTCTTTTGTGTAAACATTCACAAAAATGAAACTGAATGAATGAATATATGCGATAAGTGGAACATACAAGGATTCTAGAATATGATTAAATTACCTGCTCAGTTTTGACATGTAAATGTCTTAATTGCCAGGAGATCTCTGTATTCTTCCTGAGAAATTAAAAAAGTCATCTTCATTCACTTCTTAAAAAGGCCTTGCTTGTTATATATGCAATAGGGCATTACAATAAATGATGATATGGTCACAGAGCAGAGAGGCACTAGGTTATGTTTGCTATAGAAATTCATATGTGTAGTTTGGGGACAACAGTATATACACAGTCTTTTCTAGTTGCATTTTTTAATATTAGGAAACTACTTTCACAACCACAACAATATACATCTACAGTAATTGAATAACTAAACTTTTGACACAGCAAAATAAAGTATTGCTAACACCATAAATTGTCACTGTATTAAGTATATTAAGATGCAGGATTATTTGAACAGAATCAAATCTTTTTTAGCTAACACCCCATTTAAGGAGGGGTTCAACCGGGTATTACACACAGTGTTGCTTTGCATCGATATACTAACTTCATGGAAAAACTGCTTTATTAGTTACAACATGACAAAAACGCAAATCCCCACAGTGTGTAGCCCCGCCCTGATCCCGGTGCTGCCTTGGATAGGCTCCAGGAGCCACCGGGACCCGGACCAGGATAAATCCATTGAAGATGATTGGATAATCAAAACCCTTCAAATCCCAATAATCTAATATTCATGCATATAATTGGATGAAAATTTGAAGAATAGTAGTGTTTATAACTCAAATTCAACTCTGACACACAACCCACACACAAGAACACCCTTTACCCAGTTTTTGCAAAGTACATAAAAAACATATTTATCTCTCAGTTTCAGAGAACCGAAGGAGCCAATTCAATGTTTCATCATCACCGTTTCAATCACTTAGATTATCAGCGTTTTCTCCATCAGGGTCTGCCAGGAACCTGGGGGTGATGATAGACGATCAGCTGTCCTTGCTGACCACACTGCACTTATCTCCCGATCTTTTAGATTTACTTTGTGCAACATCAGGAAGATCAAACCTTATTTATCAGACTATGCAGCTAAGCTCCTTGAACAGTCACTTTTCATCTTACAACTAGACTACTATAACTCCTTACTGAACACCTTGGGCTGTGAAACCACTGCAGATGATTCAAAATGAAACAGCATGTCTGATATCAGCTGAGATTTTCTCATTTTACACCCTTCCTCGTCTCTTTTCTTTGGCTCCCTAGTAGCTCTTGCATCAAGTTAAATTTCTTGATGCTGGTCTTCAGAGCTGTTAATGGAACGGCATGGACCTCCACTGAGGTACTCATCATGACCTACATTCTGTCTTGCACTTTTCAGTCAGCAAGTCAGCACTGCCCGGTGAACCTCCCAACACGTGAAAATGAGCCTAACTAGACATCTCTCATGTGTGGTTCCTCAACTGGGTAACAAGCTACCCCTCCACATCAGTACCTCTCAACCTTCAAGAAACACCTCATCTTTTCCAGGAAACCCCCTACTTGCTCATCAAACCACTATGCTGCCTCATCTTTATCAGCTATCCCACCCTTGGTTATGGTCTCTTGGCAACATGCTGTTGTATTTTCACTTGTCTATTAGGATCATAGTCCTCATAGTGTTTCAATTTGAACTGCTCTGTATTGTAATACGTCCTTATATGTTTTGTTTGATTCAGTGCTTGTCAAAGAAAGGATATACTTCAGTTACACGATCGATAAAATAAAAGCACAAATGGGTCCATTTTCTAAATTCTGAAACATTTTCTCTCCCGTCGTCTTTCCCAATTGTAATTCAATTTGTCCTTTCTTGATCACTCCTCTCCCAAATATATGCAGATCAACCTCAACACCAAGGGCGTAGATTTGGGTATAGACGGTAGGGACATGTCTATACCAATACTGTGGGAGTACCGTGTGTGTTTAGGGGGTGGGGGGTTCGATTCTGATTTAGTCCCTAACGATGTTGAAACCAAACCCACGACCTTGCCTGACACATTCAGATTCAAATGCCTAGTGACACATTAAACATATAATTCTTATTACTCCCATGGATATGACATGACTGTCCACTAATAATGCTTTTATTAATAAGAAACCAGCTAATAAACAATTTATCTATTTATTTTTAGAACAGCCAGAATTGTGTCTCCAATTAAAAAAACATTCTGTACTTAAAACTGGACTTTAACAAAATACATTAAAAACACAAATGATCGAATGGTTTTTCTTCTGACTAATAGCTCAGTCTTTATTCTGAGAACATGCCTTCCCATTTTAACCTGTTTGCAGAAATCTATGGATATTTCTCAGTTCTGACCTCCATAGCCCTGTCCTATATGCATGCTTTAATTCAAACTCTCAGGATTCAAATGAACATAAACTTTTCCTCCAGCTTTTGACTATAACAAGGGGCTTAACTTGATTTCTTGGTACATTTGGTGCAGATATTTGTCCTTCTGTCTGTTGAATGTAGACAGGTGATGCTCTATGTTGTTGTTCAAAAAGCACTTGTTTATGATATGGGTTTTCATATGGGTGGGGTAATAATTGAGCCCAAATTGTACCCATTCTGTTGGTCAGAGTGGGTCAAGCTGGCATTATTAGATAGACAGATTAGAGGAAAGTAAAGGGGTGGTAGAAAATGACTGGAAACTGCACGTGTACAAGAGGCTTGCGGTATCAGGCAGGTGATACCACAGCATAGGGGAGTGTCATGTGTCTTCCCCTTGTCATCTGTAACCTGCATGCTAGCAACATGAGTACAGAATTCGCCTGGCATAGTTCAGTACAACTATCACAACTAGAAGATCGTAGGAGGAAGACTTTATTAGCCCGGATTATGACCTAAGTTTCACCGGAAGCCTCTGGGTTGTCATGGAAACTCTAAAGAGTCAAAAGACTGTTGTAGCCCCTCCAGGAAGGAGCTGTGATTGCCAGGTGTGCCGACGTTGGCTCCTTCTGCTTCTGATCATTCCCCTTAAGGACAAGAATCAATCTGCTTAAAATCAGCATCTTATGTTATTAAAATGGCTTTTATGCAGAAATGCAGAATGGAGATGCCCACAAGCAGTACTTAGTGACAATGAATAAAATAATGGATCCTTGAGTCTCCTGATGTCCCATGTCTTTCCGGACATTGAAGTAATTGAGGTGTGTGTGTGAGCATAGTTATGAATGCATCTGAACAAGGGCGGGCCATGGGGCCTGGGGTGGGGGCAAAAATCATGACTACTTGTCAAAATATATAAATAATAAAAAGCTATATCCTTTTATTATTATTTTTTTTTACAAACAGTAGAGCCTTAAGGAGGGAACAGTTAGGAGGATTCCAAGTGGCCATTAGTGACAAGGGCTGTAAAAAATTTGGAACACAGTTGGATTGGGCTGGGTTGGGGCCCCAATATGATATGCATTCATGCGGCACAATATCTCTAGCGGCTCGCCCGTCTAAAGGCACAATATATAGCAGCTCTAGTTTCTAACTCAGAACAGTCATTTGCTCCATAAATAACAATGGTTAATCCATCCGCCTTCCATTCCAAGCAGAACAGGGACAAGGCGCCTTGAAGAAAATGCCACCCAGCCCCACATCCCGGGCACATTCAGACCTGCTGGCTGGAAGGTAATGTGGGGCAAATGATCATTACCAAGATTCTCCCAAGATTTCCTCATGAGCTGAAGTTTCTGTATTTACTTAGATGGATGTCAAGCAAGTCAGGACAAAATTTGCAAGTATCACTTTCAGCTCAGCAGACTCAGAAAAATCATGTAAATGGCAGCCTGATGATTATTTTGATCATATCACGACACGCTGCGCTTAGTCTGTGCTGTTCATTGGTTTGCAGTTTGGAAATGTGGGGGACCGAGTTCAAAAGTGTATAATGCCATGTTCCCTGTGACGCTTGCAGTTATACTTTATTAAAGAATGTCTCAGAATTGGTGGTTCTGATGTGTGAGTCACCTAGTTCTACATGCCTAATAAGTGCAAAATTTTACTGCATTGCATATTTAATAACCAATATGACATCTAAACAAATAATTATTGCCTAAATAAAGAGCAGCACCGTCGCTCATGTATTATGAGTTGGACTGTAACTCCAGCTGTGTGTGGAGTTTCTGTATAATCCATGTCATGTTACGTGGGTTTCTTTCAGGTACTCCTCTGTCCAAAAATATGGAGTTTAGGTGGATTGGTGTCTCTTAATAGCCCTTAATCTCAATGGCCCAACACAGGTACACTGGCTCCAGACTCACTGCATCACTGTTATGAAAAATCAATGAATGGGTGGCTTATGAAACAAATAAGAACTTATAATTCTTCTCAAAAAGTTTACAAAAGACGATGCGTGTGTGAGAGAGGGGCTTTGATTGGCTTGTTCAGAAGGAGGGCAACACCTTCTGAGCAGGTGATACCCAATCCAGTCTTAGCTACACTGCCTTTGGCCCCAACATGCCCACCACTGAATAGCATGATTTGTTCCAAGGTGTTCATTTAGAGACTGATTGTAGGTCTGGCTTTAATATGTACTTTGTTAGTGGAAAGAATAAAGGCACAGACTCATTAAAAAGACACCCATTGTTTCAATTAATCTCCATTTGAAACCTGTTACATTATTTCCAGTAATTGTACTTCACTGGTGCTTGCAGAAGAAATTTAGCAAAAAAAAAAAAAAATGTTCTGAATGACTCTGCGAGATTTAGACTAAATCATATTCTGTGACCAGGAAGGACAGCATCTAAATCTTATGCCAAAGGTAATGTATCAATGCACTGTAGAGAAGGAGAGAAAGAGAGAGAAGAGGCAGCATGAAGTGGATTTGTCTCAATGAATAATTATGTGTGAGGCTAAATGTCACTGTGAGATCAGAAGAGATCTGATATTTACTACCTTGACAAGTAAGTTTAAGGATATGAGGAAGAGTTCATGTTTAACAATCAACCCAGGAAAAGGTAGGTCTTCAATTGATGCAAAAGTTTATATGTTTCATCTATCTAGTGGCAGAATGAAGTTAGCTTGGTGCTGACAAGACTGAGGGCCCTATCTTAATGATCTGAAGCGCCTGGCACAAGTTCATCTAGGGCGAATCCACCTTTGCTGGTTTAATGGTGTAAAAATGGCCACAGTGCCAGGCAGATGGTTCGAAAGGGTTGTATACGTAATCCACAAATTAATCATGGGTATTTTTGGTGTGTAACATGCTATATATCAATCAGAGTGTCATCCCCCATTCTGTTTAAGAGCCAGGTGTGCGTACACCTTGGTGGATTGCTTTTATAATGGCAGCTTTGCCGGGTTTTACAAAAGAACACTTCTCTGTAAACGAAACCGATCTACTCATGCACAAAGTGAAAGTGTGTGAGCAGACCATCTACAGCAACAGCAGGACTCCATGTCACCTGGGTTGTGCCTGATGCCACTTTTTTTTATACCGGGCATACGATTGAGCACTGAGTGTCCTTACATCTTCAAGTAGCTGGGAGAAAAAATTCATTGGTATTAATCCTTCATTTATTATGTATGGCACGTTTCTATTGATAAATCAAAGGCAGATTATACGTTAGCATGGTAATGAATGCATTTTCTATATGCAAGAGATTAGACAATATTATCTGTGGGAAGTAGGGATTTCCTACATATAAAAGATATAAATCAGCTTTAGAAAAGAGTGGAAATCTATTTATATATTGAGGATTTACAAAGGGATAGTCATACCTACTTCGTATTTGTGTTTGGGTGTTCCACAGCAGACAGTCATGACCTGAAACTGGAGATCAGATCAATCCTGGTTACAATGAACTTTATCTTCACTCACTATAGGTGAGAATTCAGTCCTGTTTCACTACTTATTATGATCTCACAGAATCCTTAACAACTGTTGTGCTGAAAGTGCAGTGTAAAAAAAGAAGAATTGACTTGGACATTTTCTCCCAACATTATTTTTCACTTTTACATACATACGTAACTGTCAATTAAAATGTGCCAAATGCTCAAAAACTGCAATATTTTACTTAAAAAGCATTATACTATCCCTCCATCTACCATACATCTTACCCGATGTAGTGGTCAAGGTAGCATAATATTAAAGAAACTATAAACCAAATACAATAATGTTATTACTACAAAAAAGTATTAGTGTTGTATGTGGAGTATGAAGCGTATTACTAGGGACTGCTACTGTACTTCACTAATGAGCAAACATGTAAGAGTGGCAGAATATTGATATCTGGGGCCGCAGTGGGCCTTTGCTTTGCCTGTGCAGCAGCTTCCCACAGTGAAGCAGTGACAGAAAAAATAAGCCCTGTGTGGTAAAGCCTTATGATAAAAGTCCTGTATGCAGCAGGATTTATTCTAATTTAAGTTTGCCTAAATGTAACGTGCTGTGGTAGGTATAAGTGGAATAGACAAGTACTGTTATATATTAGCTTCTGCACAAGGGGTTTGAGTGCTTTTTGATTAGAGTTGGTTATGTCATTGATTGAGGGCTAAATGTGACCTCCCCTTTGATAAGTGATCTGAACAATTAACTCAGTCTCAACGACGCCACTTTCTGTTTTAAAAAAATATAAAGGACTCTTCATGTGT